ATTCAAGATCATATAAGAAGGAAAATTTTGATAGAAAGATAAGAAATTTTTTTTCTACATATTTTTTTAGTGAACAAACAAAATTAATCATTAGATGATTCAAAAGTTAGATAATTCACAAGAAAAAAATTCTCAAAAAAACATTTTCATGATTCATTTTTAAGTAAATTAAGAAAAAATTAATTTTTATGACAATTTTAGTGAATAACAACAAAATCATTGTATAAATGAATCATTGAGATGTTTTTTTGAGAAATTTTTTTTTTTTTTGTGAATCATGTTATTTTTTATTCATCTGGTGATTCATTTGTTTTGTTCGTCAAAAAAATATGTAGAAAAAAAACTTATTATCTTCCTACCAAAAAAAATTTCTTACTGGATCTATATCCTATGTGTGAATCAGACACATATAGTTACATCTGAATCATGTTAAAAGCTCTTAGTGGAGAATGGAAAGGAAAAAAGAAAACGGAAAGTTTGTTGATTTAGCGTGGATTAAAACCTAACATGAGCTTGTGAGACTATTGAGAGAACCTTTGTGTGTGTATTAACTAAAGAAAAAAGAGACATGAACCCTAATTGTAGGAAGCCTAATCAACGCTGCCAAACATTGTCTTTAATACTTTACAGAAGGTGGGCCACTTGATGGAAACTGGATGCTCTATCTCTATCTGTATCTAGGTTACATATAATTTTGTTTGTTGTATATAACTATATATTGAGAGCCTAATCGCATTCAATGTTTAAACAGGAAAAAAAATAGCACACAATAATTGAAACATATAGGTTGATGCTTTTTATATTTATATGTTTTTTTTAGATTACATAATCAAAGATGATATGACTTATAAAATTGAAATTAAGGACAAGTACAAATGCATACAATTGTAGCTTCATCTACCTCTTGAAATTAATAACCTAGAACATAAGGATGAAGGACCAATTATATGAGAAAGAAAGTGTCAGATGATTTATTTGTCTTTTTAGATCATATAAAATGAAAAAAAAATGTTATATTTTATTGATTTTGAAACTATATTTTGTTAGGACATAATGCTACCAGTGGGTAGTTAATGCTATTACATTTACTTCTTGATAAGTTTTATTATCTTTATATTTTTTATTTCATAACAACTTATACCGATTGATAATTGATTTGTGTCTTGTGAAAAGATATTTTAATTTGTTTGGGTATTTCCAAGTAGAGATGTAATCAATCTCACTTTTAATATAACTTTGTATCAAAACTCAATTTTTATTTATGAGTCGAAAGGTCGCCGTTGCTCACTGTTTCACGTCTATCTCTACACATTTTCTTAAGTTTTTGCTATCCATTGATGCCATGTTTGTGAGAAAAAAAAAAGTTCAATTTTGACAAATGAGCATGCCACTTCATCAAAATTGACACGTCATCATGTCACGTCAGCAGACAACCAGATCGATCGGTCAAGTTGTCAGAATTATAAAAAGTTAGAAAACATGATATCAAATTTGAAAAAAAAAAACACGGTGTCAAATTAAAGTTTTGATATAAATATAATGACTTTTGTGCTATTTACCTCTTCTATTATCATTGTGCACATCTTTTGTTTGTTTGATAACCAATTGCATATTCATTTTTTATGATATTCCAAAAAGTAAATATAAGAACCCTTTGGATATAAGATAATCAATAACATTTGACTTGATTTCTGATTTCTAATAGTTACCAACTTTGTAGACCATTAAAATAACAAAGAACTCCTTTGTATTGGATATTTTATAAGTTTTTCTTAAATAGCTTTAAGTGGTGAGGTTTTTACTAAAAACGGTAAATGTTATGTACGAAAATAAAAAATAAAAACATGATAATTCTGGAAACCTGGTTGACCTAGCGGTTGAACCGGCCGAACCAGAAATCAATCATTAAACCGTTTCAACTAAAAATCTGATTTTTAAAACATTGGTTAGAACAAGTGTACAGGAACATGCATATTGAAAGGTAGTTTAAAAAAACAAAAAAAGGGAAAGGTAGTTTAAAAAAACAAAAAAAAAAAGGAATGTGAATTTAAAAGTAAGACATGGATCTATGTTCAAATATCCACAAAAACAAAACCCTTTAAACCTAATATAATACAAGAAAACAACCATAAAATCACGCAAAAGTGTTCAACACAGTTTCTTTCTCTCTCTGGCAACCACGCACATGATTCTAACTCATAAACAATTTTGTTGTTCGGTTCCATGTCAACCTTTCTATGCCCATGATATGGTCTAGTCTGGTTGGCGGCTACTTTTGATGGTTTTAACAAAAAAAAAAAAAAAAGCGATGGGCCCACCAAAAATAAGGAATAAGAAAGGGATGATGCATGGTGTGGTTTGGCAATTGATACCATGGAACATCCATGGTGGAAATAAGAAGATAAAAGATTGTACAAAGAATAGGATGAAAGGAAGGAAGGCGTTGAGATTTTACAGTGTTGTTGTTGTAGGTGGTGGTGGTGGTGTTGGTTGAATGCCATTGTTTCTCATGTAAGTTAAGAATTGTGAAGGTAGTTCTGCCAAAAGCGATTGAACAACCGAAATCCCTCCACCTGTAAATCAAGAATAAAAAAAACCTTGTATTTACTATTTAGGCAAATTATGACCTTAAGAATAAACGGTTAGATGCAAGAAATTGAAACTTACTTTCACTTATTTGTATTTAGGCAAATTATGCCCTTAAGACTTAAGAGTTAAATGCAAGAAATAGCAACTTACTTTCCTTTATTTGTATTTAGGCAAACTGACATTAAAAATTAAGGGTTAAATGAAATAAATAGCAACTTACTTTCCTTCATTTATTTGTTTATCATCCTACTTTCATTTCTTTCTATTACATTTTTCTACTTTAAAGAAAGAGGTTGCATATTATGTTACCTTGTACATCCCTAAATGGAACAAACTGGACAATATCACGTGATGCAAATTGACCTGTTGAGCTTTCAAGTTTCTCGCCTTTATCCGCATCCAATATCTGATGCATACGTACAAAAATAGACTTGTTTCATAAATAAATTATGAATGACTAATATACATTGAATATGATTTCAAAAACTAAAATATTAAAACAAAAATCTATTTTTTTTTTTAAATATTAGTACCTCCATCTCCTTAAAGTCGGCTCCACCAACACCAACAATAAGGATTGACAATGGCAGATCGGATGCCTTGACAAGGGCATCTTTTGTTTCCTGTATATCTGTTATCACTCCATCCTGTAATGTTGCCAGTGAAATCATTTAAAAAAAAAAACTAAAAATTTTCTGATCAACATATTTTTTGAAATGTGATGAATAATGATGCATACCGTGATTATTAATAAAACAAAATACTTGTGTTCATTAGCTGCCATTGATTGACTTGCAATATTGGCTGCAGCAATAATTACAGGTCCAAATAGGGTTGGCCCTGCAAGTGAAACATTAGACAGGGCACTTTCATATGCCATCATAATTCCTGGGATCCCTGACACCTGCCAATACAAGACTTACACAATCAAAATGCATAAATAAGTGATTAGAACAAAATTATTTGCAAAAAAAAAAAAAAAAAAAAATTACAGTTGGGTTGGCACTGCTTCCATTTAGGTTAAAACAATGATTGACAGGACCATCAATTGGGCGTGCTCCAAATCCCCATGAAGGAAACAGCTTGTCATAATCATAATACTGCAGTACATCTCCAACCTCTTGTATTGCCTATCGTTTTACAAGTTTAGATTGAATAATAATAAATTAATATTTAATAATAATAAAGTTGGTTCTCACTTTCTGATATGCGTTTGGACGTCCAGAATGGTCAATATAATGTAACGAATCGGGCAGGCGAGGGTTTCCATTTGAAGCTGGAAACAGAATTTCACAAGTTGAGAAGATAATTAAGTAATTAATACACATTATGATATTATTTATAATCAAAATAACAATGATACCTGTGAAATCAATGGCCACCATGAAGTTTAATTCACATCCACCAGACAAGTAATCCAGGAAGGAATGATGAACACTTTCACAGAATTTCTCCACAAAAAGTTGACTCTTTAGCACCTGCACCAAAATTACAGTCAAGGGTAAGACGAAAGCACAAATACACACATACATGTAGAGAGATATGGAAGGGCAGTTTGGACCTTTGTTTGAGAATCTTTTCCAACAGTAAAGGGTAAAAACAACTTCTCTCCAATCCCATTAGAAGATAACTTCTCTAAATCCGCAAGTGACTTTTGAACGCGCCTGAATGACCCAAAAATTTATAAAATATAAATATAAAGCAAAATCAGTATTTATATTTTAATTTAAATATATATGAAATCGAAATTAATGATAGTCTCTTACCCAAGCAAATCATGCTTTCCATTACCGTTAAAATTAAAGCACTCAATAACCAGTGGACTGTCCTGCATACATTCAAATAAAACAAAAACAAAAATCAATGTCTTTACTGTCATACGTTTATAATATATATATATATATATATATATATATATATATATATATATATATATTAATGTATACATACTGTTTATACCTTACTGCCAACTTGTGATATGTTCAAAAAAATCGGTTTCCAGACAGGTTTTAAGTTGTTTTTTAGAACCTCTGTTCTGCAAATTGGAACTGTAGTCCCACTCTCTGTGTATTTTGAAATTACTAGAAAAGGGTCCTGAAAAATAATATAAAAATGAGTGAAATTTATTTATAATAATCCAGGAACAGAATAAATGGTTATAAGGTCGTTACACTTTTGGAGAAAAAATCCTTATTTTCTAAATCTGTGCACTTTAATATCAACTCTGCTGTAGTTTTGGAGACAACTTCTTCTTCTGCGTGAATGGTGAGCTGTCCAAGTTTTTTATGAGTCGACTCAGCAGACTCTGCAATGCTCACAAGCTCTAAGGTGCACGCGCGCTTTGAATTAGCCACTATCTACATTGAAATAAAATCATCCTTAAAAGTTGACACGTGTCATCGACAATTAATATACTCAATAAACAAATATCAGATGTTGCAAAAAAAAGGCCTGAAATGTGCAAATTGATAAAGAGTGAATACCTGAGACAATGCACAAGTGGCCTCACCCAAATATTGCTGATCATCTAACTTAAGTGTCTGCATGCAAAACATAAAAATAGTCATTATGGTACTTGATGGCAATTATAATCTACTTCAAATCATATTTTTGTTGACAAAATAAAACTATGTTGATGACTGACAAGTAATGGTGTTTTATAGTTCTCAAAAGAGTTAGTTGAGGACAATATTATGTGATGTACCTTTATGTCTGGGCTATGAAACTGAGTGTCAACATCATAGACACGGAACCTATGATATGAGACAATTACTTGTGTAACTAAAGATGATAAAGATGTGTGTATTTGTAAGAAAATAGAAGTATGAGGTATTGTCACTTACAAAAGTGTTTGAACCATCTCAAAATAATAAGTAATTTTAATTTTTGTGATCCATTTGGGATTTAATGAATTTAGAACAACTTCTGTTCGTCCAAGCTCCTGCAAAGAACCATCTTTTCCTTTGGTATATACAATTGCCATAGGATCACTCTATATACAGAGAGCACACATATGTTAGATATTTATCAAAGAGCTTGATAATCTTAAAAGTGCATTGAAATTAGGGCTTATTAACACATGCCATGAAAGTCCTTGTAAGAAGTGAGAAACTTACCTTGGAAAGCACATCCCTGTCACGCAAGTCTGAAGCAGATAAGGATAGCTGCAAGAATTTCTTAATAACATCAGTACAATAAATGCTTAAGGTAATCAAGCAAACTAATTTAATTATTACACCCAATGCAAAGCCAACTATGCTCTTTAAACCTACAACTACTGAAAATGAACATTGAGATAATGATTGCATCAAGATTATTAGAAGTGATCAACTGCTCATGTTGCTACTTTATAAACCACAACATAGATAACCTGATCCTCAGCTTGCTATATAAAACCTCAATGTGCATCCAACCAATTTATCTTATCTTATCTTTCAACTAGTGTAAAGAATAAAGACTTAAAAGTCGAGTAATCAATCAAGAAACTCAAATCACTTTCTTAGAATATGACTAATTACGAAATAACATTAAGATCTCTTAGGCATCGAGAGCATCGATTAGCACTCAGAACTTTTATCATAAGTTCGTAAGATTTATTTTGTATTACGGATTATAACAACAAAATACATTTTTCATTGCTGGCCAGTAATGTCAATAGGCATCCAAAATCTTAATTTGAATAACAAATTTAACAATAATAAAGAAATACATCGAAATCGGTGAATACAAACTATATAATTAAAATAAACGAATGTTCTGGTGAGAGAATTGTACAAGAGAGAGAAAGCACCTCGATCTGAGAGAAGAGGCCATGGTAGCCGCGAGATTTGAGAAACCCGTCGACGGCGTCGTTAGAACCACGAGTATCGTGAGCAGAAGAAGTGCCTCCAACGGCAAATTGACTATGGCCACCGCCGGAAAAGCAATTGCCCATGGAACGCCGGCGGGATGAAAGGATAGTGGTAGTAGACGGAGCAAGAAATTGAATTGAAATTGCGAAATGTTGACACTTGACAGAGAGAGAGACGAGAGAGAAAGGGGGAATCTTACAGTTAAGCAAATGAGCGGACCCACTTGTTAATATAAGTTTGCCTTCGATGAATTTTTTTAACATTGTTGGTAACGTGATCGGCGGTTCAATAACGGCTTAAAATAGGTATGAATTAACATTGATTTTTTTTTTTTTCAATGTCAAATAATTATTTTTTCAGGTTAACACCTTCTTATTAGCCAAGTGGGCTAGCCCGGCTAGGTTGATGCGTCGAATAAAAAAGATTAATCCTGACCGGTAGGTGTGAGCGTTATTAAGAAAATGACAAAAAAACGGCGTTAATGGAAGTGATGGTGGTAACGGGTAGCAACGCGCAAACGTATAACATCTAATAACATGGATGGGGACAGTGTTCTTAGGCGTTATTTGGTGTTATTAGGTGCAATAACGGGAGTGGGCAAGCAACCTAATAAGAACTAATATTTTAGGGTACTTTGCACGCAGTGATAAATTATAAAAAAATTAGATAAAACCGTAAAAAAATGGTCATATGTTATGTAACTTTTCTAAGGCTTAGCCCAAACTTCGATTTTTTTGGCTTCGTAATCCCTTTGAACTAGTTTTATTGTGGATTCGGTCCCTTAGCAATTAAAATGACTTTAATATCTTTGGGTTATTTATTTTCTATTTTCTTTCATTTTTTAAATCAAATACTTATTTATTTATTTAAACAATAAAAAAAATAAGATTGTCCACCTCTCTCTCATACATACATACACACTTCCTCTTCTTCCTTGCCGGTTAAAGAAACACATTAAAGATTAAACAAACAATTTACAGATACATACACATACTTCAAATCATAAAAAAACACACACTTGAAACTCAAAAAAACTCACACAACTACAACTCAAAACACACATAAACCTACTTTTAAGTTTTAACTCGAACACACACATACGCAAGAGCGTATACCACGAATGACCCAGATGAATCACAAAGAACAGTAGGGAAAACATAGCCATGGGATCCATGATCAGTTTTAGGATCCAGATGAAGAAGAAGATTTGCGAGATTTTCTTTTGAACATCATCAGTCTATTTGAGATCGATTTTATTCAACATCGATCTGGGCCTCTCTCGGATCGTCTCCAACACAACCATCATCGACATCAATCTCCATTATGTGAAAATCGAGAATCAATATTATATGCATAGTTTCAGTTACTCCGATGGAGAAATAAACCTAGATCTTGCAATGAAAAATCGTCATTAGATGTTGGTTAAAGTTGGTGGCTCCAATGGAAGTTTTTCGGTAGTTCTCATATCTAGCTTTAGATCCAAGAACCGAAATCCGGCGTGGGTTTTTCTTGTTTGTCTTCAAATATATGGGTTTTGTTTGTAACATCTCGATTCTCACGTATGAGAATTTTCATTAAAAAGGCAAATTTTTCCTTGGAACTCGTCGAGTTGATGGCCTCAACTCGACGTGTTCAAAGTTTTGGGTCGCGAATTTTTTTTGACCAACTCGACGAGTTGGTGGCTGAATATGAAACCCTAATTTTTAGGGTGTTGCACCCTATTTAAAGGCCTTAAGTCCTATTGTTGGCCACCCTAATCACCTCCTCTATCCAGAAACCCTAGAATTCGTGCATCTTACCCCAAGTTGAGTGTGTGAGCTTATAAGTTGCTTCTGTTGGTCTCATTTTTTTAAGAGCTTGAAGTTGGTGGTGCCTAGCTTGAAGGGGGAAGCTATAGATCCAGAATATCCTTGAGTTTAGCTACTCTTTTGAGGTAAAAAGTCGAAAACTTGCTTATTTATTGCTTAGATCTCTTTCTTGGAAGTTTATTGTCATATTTGGCTCATTTTTTGGATTGTTCATGGGTTGAGTATTTCATGAAGTTATCACTTCAGATATGGATGTCTTATTGCCTCATTGGACTTAAAGTTGCAAGCTTTAGCAAGTTCTAGGCCTCTTTCATGCTCTATGTCCCTTATTAATCCTTTATTGAGTCTTGGAGCCTCTTTGTGTCATGCATGGATGTAAAGTTAGCAACTTTACGTGGGTTTCCAACCCTTGGGTGTCAGATCTACATTTTAAAGCATTAGAATCGTCAAGAAGGGGCTGAATGTGTTAAGACTAGGAAAACTCGACGAGTTGTCCTGACAACTTGGCAAGTTAGCTAGGGTTTTCCCGCTTATCTGGATACTAAAGGAACTCGATGATTTGGTAGGTGCACTCGACGAGTTGGGTCAACATGGACTGTTGACCTTGACGGTTGACTTTGACTTTGACTATGGTTGACCGAGTTGAACTTTGAGGGCATTTTGGGTATTTCAGGGTTTTGATATAAATGTTCATGGTGGTTGTAGGCATTTGAGTCTGAAGCCGAGTTTTCGGAGTGGATTTACCGGTTCAGCACTACTTGTGAGGTGAGTGTTCCTCACTGTACTTGTTGGGTCGAAGGCACCAAGGTCGGCCCTTTCGGATTGTTATCCTGATTATTGCATGATTGAGTTTGTAGTGATCTGTTAGATCTGTATCCTGATAATAGGATGATGCTATGCTTAGTGATCTGTAAGATCTGTCTATTTGTCTGATTGACTGGTTGTATGTTTAACTGTTATGCATATGTCGACATGTTATGTGTGGTTGGGTTGAGGTGGACCTGCTTTGTGCTGAAGCCCAACAGACCCAGAGCGTTCGGATAGACTGAAGGCCAGTAGGGTGTACCAGTCAGGCCGAAGGCCCGAAGAACGTTCCAGATAGGCTGAAGGCCCGAGCTGGCGTACCAGTCATGTTGTAGGGTCTGTGAGCATACCAGATAGACTGTAAGCCGGTAGGGCGTTCCATTCAGACTGAAGGCTCTGAATGCATGTTGTTTGTGATATTATTCTGGTTTTGTATTGTAATTGGTATTTTGGGGGAAACTCACTAAGCTTCGTGCTTACAGTTTTTTATTATGTTTCAAGTACCTCAGATGATCGTGGAAAGGCGAAGGCTTGTGTAACGACCAAAAATTCCAACCAAATTAAAACATTTTAATTCATTCAAAACCATTAAGTTCATACATCTCG